AGCTTGAAGAAGACCCAGAACAGTTATAATAATAATACAAACTCAACAACAAGAAGCAATCTGATGAAAGATGATGAATTGTTTCATGTGATTCACAAAGTTCCTTGTGGAGATACTCCCTATGTCAAAGCCAAACATGCCCAGGTCCAGATTCTTCTTTGAGTTTTTCTTTTTCCTTTGGTTTCTGAATCAAATTTTACAAGATTGCATATTCTTTCATATGTTAGTTGCTCTCCTCAGTATCACTTAATTTTTCTTGAATTTGATACTAATGAAATTGATAAGTTGTGTGTAGTTTTTCATAAATAAATATGGAATTTTACTGTTTTTTGTTTGTTTTCAGTTACCATGTTATTTTATCTCACGCTATTTTACCTAATAGCACCTTTATTTAATACGTGATCTAAAATACACCATTTATTTATGTAAATGCTGTTTGTAAATATTACGCAAAATTATATTATCCCAGGAGAAAATCCAAATTATTCATGGTATAAAATATGCTAAGTATAGAAATAGCTATTTAGCGTGAATTTCAAAGAAATGGATTGAATGTTATTGCATTGTTTTCCCTGAAAAAAAATGGTTACTGACTTGGTTGATAAAAACAGAGCTATACAAAAGACAAACATTTAAGTGATCTGGGTGAAAAAAATCCAACCTGAAAATTTTGTATTTCGGCCAATATGCAAAAATAATGCAGGGCATTTTTCATAAGTAAATGGTGGTGGGTATTTTTTTAAAGATACGATATTATATCTAGTAGTGCGTCATTAATAAAATAAAATAAAATAATATCTTCTATATAAAAAAGCAGGTGAAATTCATGTTAATTACTAAAAACACGCTAAATAAAATACGTCGCCAAGTCATTTTGGCAAATACTATGAAGTATAATAAGCTTATTTATCATGTTACCCTTTATTTTTGTGAGAAAAGTAATAATGTTGCGTAAATGAATTTTAGCGATTGAAAAAAAAAATTCAGAAATATAATCTCAACTACTGTTCAGACTTATTTCATATCTTAAGTTTTTTTTTTTGCCGAGTAAACAGTAAAGTAAAAAAGAAACAAAATATGAATCAGTTAGACTTTAGATGTTGCGGTGTGCGTCTGAGAGTCGCTAGTTGCACCGAATGGTCCGGATTTTGGCATCAATATTCGCGTTTACTTTTCCTGAGAATAATGCAAAAAGTCTTTACGTCCAAAAAGTTACTGTTGTCCCAAAAAAACACTTTTCCTGAGAATAAAATTATATTCTTCTTTACATTTTATATTGGCCTATCATCTCACACTTGCTCTCAAATACATGAATATATTTCCAGATGAAAATGGTCAAGTAAGGTTATTAATCATTGACAGTTTGAATTACTGTTGGTTGCAGTTGATAGAGAAGAACCCGGAAATGGCAATAGTATGGTTTTGGAAAGCCATTAACACCGGAGACAGAGTAGACAGTGCTCTCAAGGACATGGCTGTTGTAATGAAACAGCTTGACCGTTCCGAAGAAGCTATTGAAGCTATCAAATCCTTCCGTCCTCGATGTTCCAAGAACTCCCAAGATTCCCTCGATAATGTCCTTATCGACTTATACAAGGTCTTACTATAACCATACATATATTTATTTCATTGCCCTCTAATATAATCTGTAGTTTTAGTGGCTATCGTCCTAAAATGATAGTCTATTGGTCGTCGCTATGTGGATCTAGCTAGGCCATAGATCATTTCATTGACCCTTGTGGAATTCACATAGATACTGCAGTCTCAAAAGATTAATCTGGATTTTGGTCTGAAATCATCGTATTATAGAACAATAATAATATGATGTTATTATAACACTCACACGGCGTAATTTCTGGCAATGAATAGAAATGTGGGAGAATGGAGGAGCAAGTTGAGTTGTTGAAGAGGAAACTAAGACAGATCTATCAAGGAGAGGCTTTCAACGGTAAACCTACCAAGACCGCTCGCTCCCACGGCAAAAAGTTTCAAGTGACCGTTCAACAAGAAATCTCGAGATTACTGGTAATTAGTGCTCCAACTCGATTTGCGTGTATATTTTATCGTTGTTAATGGGAATTAATTTACAGGGGAACTTGGGGTGGGCATATATGCAACAAGCCAAGTACTTGTCCGCAGAAGCAGTGTACAGAAAAGCCCAAATGGTGGAGCCGGATGCCAACAAGTCGTGCAACCTCGCGATGTGCCTTATCAAACAAGGCAGGTTTGAGGAGGGAAGAGTGGTTCTTGACGATGTTCTTGAGTCTAGGGTCTTGGGTGCAGATGATTGTAGAACAAGGCAACGAGCCGATGAGCTTCTGAGTGAGTTAGAGGCTTCACTGCCGCGTAGGCGAGATGCTGAGATGGAGGATGTCTTGGGAAATATATTAGACGATGACTTTGTTCTTGGGCTTGAACAGATTACGGTCACTAGTTTTAAATCTAAGAGACTGCCAATCTTCGAGCAGATCTCTTCTTTTAGAAATCAATTAGTTTGTTAATTATTTGATTTTGCGCTTCTTGTGTATCATAGCTTTCCTGGTTCATAGTTTGATGTGTTGGTAAATATGTGCTCTCTTGTTCTCTTTAGTAACTTTTGTATATACATCAATAATAATGTTCTGTCGGTGACTTTTTTTTTTTTTGTTATTGCTTTACGGCTGCTGAAGTCAGCCGTTGATAGGCTCCGGTCGATTAGGATTCGGTTTAAACCGATTCCGGTTTGATACAAGTTCCAATCCGGCTTTTTGGCTGTCGTTAGACATTTGGAGCTGTCCAATATTTCGATTTGTTATTTTTCATTTTTGGGTCTAGTTAACCTAAAAGTAATCTAATATTCCAAATTATTAGAAACACATTAAAACATATTAAATTATTGAAACTCAAGAAGTTTTCTTTCTTCTTACTATCTCATATTCTACGCACCCTCAACTCTAAAGCTGATAAGTTTGCGAATGGTGGTCGAGTAGCTAGATATGATATTTTCTATGTAAACTCATCACCACCACCTTGGATAATCGAGTCGTGGTAAATTAGTTTATTATCCCGCTCACAAAAAAAAACTACTATTCAAAACATAAATCCGCAT